TGTGTACTCCATTTGGCAAAGTTCACATGTATAGCCATCATTTGTGTTGTTGGAAAAAGGTATTTGCAAAGAATAAGTCATTGGTCTTGCAAAATTCTATCATGTGATCTCCAGTGCCATTTCTAACACCAAGGCCATATTTTCCAACTACTGGAGATTCTTCTTGGTTTCTAACTTTTGCATTCCAGTCACCAGTGTTCGTGAGCACATCTTGATTGCATGTTTGGTCAATTTCAGACAACAGAAGTTGGTAAAAATAAATTTCCTCATCTTTTTGGCTTTGGTAGTTGGTGCATAAATTTGAATACTAGTAATTTTAACTGGTCTTTCTTGTAGGCATGTGGATATTATTCTATCACTGACAGCATTGTACTTCAGGATAGATCTTGAAACATTCTTTGTGATGATGAATGGCACGTGATTCCTCTTTGATTTGTCATTCCTGGCATAGCAGATCATACACTTGTCTGATTCAGAATGGCCCAAACCAATCCATTTCAGCTCACTAATGCCTACGATATTGATCTTTATGCATTCCATTTAATTTTTCACAACTTCAAATATTTTCTAGATTTTCCTAGATTCATACTTTGTACATTCCATGTTCTGATTATAAATGGATGCTTGCAGCTGTATCTTGCCATTTTGAATTTTTCTAGGATTCAAAAATGAAATGACTAGTAAAGAACTTACATTCAATGTTTCCTCAATTCCTTAAAAGCAGTGTAATATTTCTGAAATCAGAGAGTATATTTAAAAATACATGTTAAGCATTTCATTTCTTGAAGATCTGTTAATAAAACAATGTGTGTCTTACAAATTGCATTGTCAGAGTTCTCTTTAGCTAACCTTGCTCATAGTGCCAATTATATAAAACCAGCCCAGGGTTACTGAGATTATCTACCACTGTTGCAAATATGTCCTAAAACAAAAACAAAAACAAAAAACAAAACTCACTGCCCTCTAGTTGATTCAAGTCATAGCCACCCCTCCTTGTCCCACACCACATACTAACTCTTCCCTATAGAAATCTCAGCTTCCTTTCCCTGGTCAGTCCAGATCCCAGCAGCTCCATGCCACCCTTCCTCTCTCATTCCCATTTTTCTGGGGCTAGGTCAATGAGTACCAGCCCCTTCTCTATTTCTTAGGTCAGATAATGAGTTGGGAAGACTCAATAGCTCCAGGAAAAAGGTTATCTTTAATCCAGCAGAAAAGAAAAGGACACAGATTTATATGTCAAGATCTGGGAGGGGTCTCAGTACAAAGTGTCCATGTCAATAAGGGACATATTTACTTTCCAGAGAGTAGATATTCACTCTATCCACCCAGGAAGCTCCACAGAGCCTCTGTCTTCCAAGGCCTTTGATGACCTCATCATGATAGATTACATCAGGCCTTCTGAGTTTAGTCAGCAACAGGCCCCCACATAGTCTGCCTTGGTCTGGTTAGTCTCTACTCATTGGCTTCAAGTGTGATCTTAGGAACCAGGACCAAAGGCCAAATTGTTTAACTGACAGGAGGTCCAACACCTTGCACAAATCTATTGCATATTGCCTTTTAGAATCTAGAGAAACAAGGAAATAATTTATTTTCTTTATCTACAACTCCTTACTTTGAGTTACTCCGTACTATAAATATATACATTAAAGCTCCTAACACAGTACCTAAAATCTACTAGGTATTCAACAATTGGTAACTTTTTTTTTTTTAATGTAATTATTGCAAAGAACAAAAATACAAGGAAGTAAACACAACCCCATCCAGTCTTTGGTGTGAACTGAAAATTTCAAAACCAAATCTGGACAGGTAGGTCACAAAAGATATCTATTATCTATCTAATGTTATGATTATTTAGAGTGACTTTTATAATAATAATATCACATTGCCCCAAATGAGTATTTTCCCCTCCATAGAATCTTTTTACATGTCCTTTTTCCCAGTAATGCTGCTATTGTTAACAAAATATTTTTTTGCTACTGTTGTTTTTGGTGATTGTGTTTAAAGTGTACAGAATATTTCTAGGAAAACAGTAAGAAAGGTAACCAAGAGTGGTGGAAAATATAAGGATTTTGGAATCACATAAAACTAGGTTTAAACCTCGCTTCACTTATTATAGACAGTGTGTCTTTGGGTAGTAATCATCTCTGAGTCTTCAATTCTTCATCTATAAATAGCAATGATATTTATGGGATTTCTGTAACACTGTATAGAGTTGGTAGAAGCACCCAATAAGAAAACTGTTTAGTGCAATATTCAACTCACAGTAGGCAATCAACAGATGCAGCTATTTTAATCTCATTCAAGAATTACTTATTGAGAGGTTATATTTTGTATCCTATATTAGGCACACTATACACAATGGTAAATTTATGAGTGAAATAATGAATCATACTTGTTCTTATGGAACTTATTATAGCTTCCAGATATATATATATATCAACAACTAATCTAACTGAAAAAAAAAACTCAACCTTTTTATTATTTTTTTCCAAACAAAGCCAAAAGATAATTAGATCCAAATCTGGAGAATAAGTCTGGTGATCAGTTTGTGTGATACCATTTTTTATCAAACCCAAATGAGACACTAAAGGAGCAAAACAAGTTTTCTTGGGAGGATTATTACTTGGATTTTTTTAAAAAATATATTTTCAGCAACTCTAGCATGATTAGAGCAAGTATAGATTCCAAAGTTGGGTACTTTGATAAATAATAGTCACTTAAATATATAAGTTCTTGTGTATTTGATTTATAAAAAAAAAAATCTCATTAATCATTCATAATCATCATACTTATAATTCGTGACTAGCAATGAAAGTTAAGCCAATCATGTTTATGAAATGCATATGCATGTGTATGTTCCTCTCTGTTTACAGCAGAGTTGCATACCCCCTATCAATAATAAATAATGGGGCTAACAGTCTTCATGTAAAATACCTGAATCTTTGATCATCCCATTTAAGTGATCCGATTCTATCAAAAATTGGCTTGGAAGAGCTCTGTCTTTGCATAATCAGCTTTGCTATTTGAAATTTCCAGGCTTCAGTCCAACTGTTTTGACTTCCTTTTTCCGTCTCTGTTTCCAAGCAGTATTCTACTGTGAAACTTAAATTAAAGTATAGTACTGTATAGTACAAACACAACCACTGCAGTGGAGTCAGATCTGACTCACAGCGACCCCTCCTTGGGTTTTTGAGGCAGGATCACTATGGAAGCAGATTGTCCAAACTTCCCCTTCAGTAGTCAAAGGGAGAGTTAAAGATCATGGTCTCAAGTTATTAGTGAAAAATCAATATGTAACCTGGAGGAGAAATACAACTACAGTAAAGATAATATGTTACTACTAATTAAATACAGTGGGTAAGGTAAAGTAATATGTAACCTAAATAAAATACTAAAGCCTAGAATTTTGGTGAATACCACCTAAGCATTCAATGTAGTGAGGCTATATTTCTAGGAGTGATTTCCTAAAAATGGGCAGATATTTTGGATACCATACAGTTGATCAGAGGAGAAGAAATAATGGAAGAATTGTTTTTGAGCAAAGCAATGTTTTGAATGAATGTCTTTGAGAACCATTTATAAGGAATTCAAGTTGCAACCATAAAATTCATGTACTATTAACAGCCACTCCCCGGAAGGAAGATGGGGCAATCTACTTCCCTAGTGATACTGCCCTGAAAACCCAAGAAGGGGTCGCTATGGGTCAGGTCTGACTCAACGGCAGGTAACAACAACAACAAACAACAATTAATAGCTAAACTATGGTGCAAGAGATAATACAAAGTCATGCCATAATGAACTGATAAATGAGTGGCAAGGAAAGTAAGAGAGGAAAATAACATTTCAGGCAAGAAAAATGACATGAACAAAATATGTAAACTAAAAATGGTAAATCTTGTTACCAGAATGCTCTGTAGACCTAATTAAGAATAGAAATGTCATAAAAGGCCAGTAGTGCTGGATACAATTGGGTCTTGAAATCATATTTTGGATATTTTTCAAGGACCCAAGGAATTAGAACTTTGTGTCAAAATTATTCAATAGGTGAACTATCCCTGTGTAGTTTTCTATTTAAATATGCTAACAATTACGTCTAGCAATTTACTTTCATCATAAATAAAATAAGTGAATGCAGATTATTTTCATTCATTCAAAATATTTTTTGGGTTATTTATTACTACATGCTATATTTTTTCGGAGAACTACAGGGAATATAAAGATGATCCAAAGGCTAATTGATACTGCTTTTCAACTTATATCTTTCCATTTTAAATAAAACTTTTCCCTTTTTGTTATTTTGAAAACTAACTGTAACTTTAAAAATGCCAAAGAAAATTTATAAAAGCTCTGGTAACTTTATAGAGAGCACTGGAGAAGACCCCTAAGGTACAATATATGAAAAACAGAAGTAACTAGAATTGTCCCTCAAATTTAAAATCTTTTATAAATTAGATGAACCACGTATAAGACATGTATTAAGAGCTATCTTAATTTCTAGACAAGAAACCAATGCTATCAATTAACAAGATTAATTAACAAGATTAATGAGAAACAGTTTATTGTCGATATGGAGGCCAACTTATTAAGCTGTGTGAATTAAAAGAATCATTAAATTTTCTTTGGATTTTGGTAGATTTCTAAAAATCTTAAATGATATACAGTCCATGCTGATGAAACAAAAATGAATGAAAACAATACCATCTCAAAGAGTTCACTCACCATCTAAGAAAGCAGAGACAATCATCAACAAATAAATATCATACACTATGAAAGGCACTTTAATGTAAGTAAAATATTTAGTTTAGTTTGGGCATAAAGAAATGAGTCATCAATTCTCAGAAAAGCTCTTATACCAAAAATTAAGCCCAATTCTGTTCTTATATAAATATTTACCATCAATAATTTCCAAACTGCATGTAAATACAACTAAAGTGAATAAGTTACAGCATACTTTATCATTCAAGTGCAAAATACTAATAAGTAAATTTTATAATATTTACCTTCACCATTAGTTGATAATGTTGTCTGCCTAAGTAACTTCTCCACCATTTTTGAATAATTGTTACTCTTTTGTGTAAATACCTGGAATTAAAATTATGTATGTTAGTATTCATTACAATAAGGATGTCTCTTAAAGTTCAATTAAAGAAAATTAATTCAAGGCCAAGTTTGTGTATACCTCTAAAGGGTAGAGAGTTATCTTAATGGGATAGAATTAATCATTCCTAAGAGTAGAAAAGAGGCATAGATAACTACAGTATTCAGTATTTCTTCTGGTTCCATGATTAAACCATTTTTTTTTTCTTTTTTAATTTCACTTAAACAAACAAACAAAACAAAACACTGCCATTGAGTCAGATCTGACTCATAATGACCCCTCCTTGGGTTTCTGAGGTGGTATCACTATGGAAGTAGATTATCCAACCTTCCTTCCGAAGAGTGTCTGGTGGGTTTGAACTGCCAGCCTTCTGGTTAGCAGTCTAGTGCCTTAAGCACCAGGCCATTAGTGTTCAATAATTATTCTTGACACTATTTTTGAAAATTAAGGCTATACAATAGGTAATAGTCACATATTGGGGAAGAGATCAGGCACTAATTATGTGAATCATTATTGTTACTTTCTGGCCAGTCAATTCCAACTCCTGAGTCTGCTCCATAGGGCTTTCAAGGCTGTGATCTTTCAGAAACAGACCACCAGTTCTTTATTCTGAGGTGCCTCTGGGTGGGTTCAAACCACGAATCAGCCAGTTACTGATGGACCACTTAACCCTCTGAGCCACTCAGGGACTCCAGTGAATCTCAAAGATATTCTTCTTCACAAAGATTTTAAGTATTTAGAAATACTTTTATTGAATAGAAATCATCTTGTGGTCAAGAAACATTTCCCCTCTTCACTCTTTTTTTACATTTTCTCCAAACTAAAGTCAAGTTTGTCTGGTGAATTAAAAGACATTCTCTTTGCTTGTAAGTGGCTGAAAAAGAAACTTGGTCTTTACACTTAAAATGTGCATGTCTGACACTGATTAGAATGGTTTAAGAAAATATAAAACTCTAAAATTACATACATAAGTTAAATGGGAATATACAGTGTTCAAGTAGGAAGTGACTTCAAAATAACCATATTACTTCAAGATGTTATCATTGATATAGGGACTTAGGTGACTTTCCTTAAGGCTTAGTTTAAAAATGTGTCACATGTTTTTTCATCAATGGCTTGGGTAATACAATAAAGAAAATATACGATAAAAAGTAATATACTATGGAGGAAAAGTTTCGTTAAGGTAAGTGATGATATAAAGGCAATTTGAACAATAATGCTAGTATAATGCTAGTATAATCAATTAGACAATAAAAATGTGCACAGGACATCATCACATCTACTTTATAATAATCATAGAGATTTTGAACATAGCTATAAGATACATTCAAAACTTATTTATAAAATGATTATACTAGCATTATTGTTCAAATTAGACTGGAATCCCCAGTCTACCATACGAGTTTTTATGGCCATATTCTTCTTCCATCTTATCTAGGACAATACACTGGGAATTTTTAAAAGTAGAGATATGTTCAATGTAATTCAGTTTTTGGTATGTAGGAAAAGATGTGAAAAAACAGCATGTTATCTCTTTTTTAAAAAGGCATCACATAACTTATCAACTTCATGAAAAGTAAAATATTATTTATACTATTTGAAATTAACAATACCCAAATACACTACATTTTCTAAGAAATATATATTTTGTTAATATCTGAGGTTTTCATGACAAAAGCAATATACCTGATATACGCCCGAACTTTACATCCCCGGAACCAACTCTGGATTTTAATTGCTGCATCATTCTCCCTTTTCCTAAATTGATCCACAACACTAAAAAAATATTTTTAAAACATTTCATTAATGACAAACATAACTCTAAAGCAAATGAAGCTGTTAAAACTTAAAGTTTAGTTCTTCCAAAATGATCATTATAATTCGAATGCCATTTTAAATAAAATTAAAATGCTAAATAAAGTATTTCAAAAATCATGAGCTATGTTTCAAAAATTAACCTTTCTTCAAGAGGCTATGTGCTTTCAACAGCTTTCCTTTTTTTAATTCTTATACTCACTTATTTTGCAAGTAATTAATTTGCCAGTAATTTTTATTAGGGGATAAAAAATAAATGTGTTATTTTGTCACTATTTTAAAAACATAATTATTTCAATTTACTGTTTAAGGGCTCTGGAAGGTTCAGCAATCTACTTCTGTAGTGACACCGCCTGGGGAACCCAAGGAAGGGTGGCTATGAGTCGGGTCCCACTTGGGGGCACATAACAACAACACTTAAAATATCTGCATATTGGATACACTTCAAGAGTTAAGTGACTTTTCACTGAGTAAAATGAATCCATCACATGATGCCTATTTTAGATAGAATTCTCAGGAAGTTCATTTATGTTGTAGGAGGCAAAGGGCAGGGCCATGGGACTTACAAAGAGATAAGAAATTTAGTTCTTAGATTCCATTGATTTGGTGCAAGAAAAAAATCAGTCAAAACAGATCTCCTTAGTTTTATCAGTCATAACCATTTCTCCTTCCATTCCCCAACTAATAAAATGATATTGCTTAGGCCAATGATGGGGCACAGACTAATGTCTCTTCTACAATTCTGGTTGGCACCTTTCAACACTTTATGAATTTTGCTGAATTAATAAAGAATGACTAGTTATTTATTTTTTACTTATTATTATTATTATTATTACTCCTTCAGAATTATGTTTTCTTGGACAGGTTATTTTGGGTTTTTCATTGTATGTTAGATTAAATACATACATTTCCTTAAACAAAACAGAATGGAAAAAAAAATACTTCAAACAATAAAATTGTGGGACAATACACACAGTTGATAAAGAAAAAAAAAGTTAGTTGATAAAGAAAGAAAATAGAATTAGCAACTAAGCTATATCAATGATTAAAGAAAACAAAACTCACTGCCATGGAGTCAATTCCAACTCATAGCGACCCCCATTGGGTTTCCCAGGATGTAAATCTTTACAGAAGTAGACCACCATCTTATTTTCCTTTCATGGAGTGGCTGGTGGGTTTGAACCATTGACCTTCTGGTTAGCAACCAAATGCCTTATCCACTACACCACCAGTGGTCCTTAAGCTATATCAATGACTACAGCTTGAGGAAAACAAGTTAACTACAACTCATGGCAACACACTCCCGTCAAGGTAGAATGAACCATGGTCCACAGGGTTATCATGTTTGATTTTTCAGAAGCAAATCTCAAGGCCTTTCTTTTGAGGCACGTTTCAAACCTCCAACCTCTCAGTTAGCAGCCTACTAGGTTAACCATTTATTCCCACCCTGGAAATGAATTATAGTTCTAAACAAGCAGAAAAGAGAGTTGCCTAGAAAGCCTACCTGAGATCCATGAAAGACAAAGACAAAAATTTATCATCAAAGTCAATGACCCAGGTATGAAATAGAGAGAATGCACTGGTAAGAATTTACACAAATAAGGATGGTTGCAATAAGGTATAGCTCAATGTGTAGAATAAACTCTAAAACCACACATAATATAGTTGCATTATCTGATAATGGGAAGACACCATGGGGAGATTACTACGTGATGCAATAAAACTGGCTGGAAATAATCAAGAGTATGTGTTCTGGTTACCCAGTGCCACTCTGACAAGAATATATACCACAAAATGGGATGGCCTTAACAAACAGGAGTTCATTCTCTTACAGGTTAGGAGGCTAGAAGTCCGAGTTCAAAGTGCCAGGCTCTACAGTCTGCGTGAAAGCCCCTCTACCTTGGGCTCCAGTCCGCCTCTCGCTCCTGGCCCACCAAAGCTTGAGGGATCTCCTCACTCAGGCAGCCACTAGCCACTGAGGCCAACAAGCCCAAAGTCAACAAATAAAATGGCAAAGTCAATAAATAAAATGGCAGGCCATTAATTCAAGTCTGTTTAAGTCCCAAGGTTGGCAGAGCATGGCAGGCTGCTGAACAATGACACAGCTAAATGCAGAGTCCAGGAGTGCCATAAGCTAGAGACTATCCCAAAGGCTTCTCCTTATATACAGGGAACAGACCACATACCAAAGGCAGCTACTCAGTTGCTTGTGGTAGATCCCACCATGGAGTGATTGCCAGTCTCATCATGGGGAATAACTACCACCAGCTGCCCAGTCACTCAACCAGGCCCAGCCAAGTTGACATACAAGTTTAACTATCACAGTGAGAGACTACTCTAGACAATTAGGAATAGAAGAAAACTTCATTATTGTTGTAAACTTGAACTGCATGAAGCATTGTTAGAGGGTACTTGTATAAACTGTATTCTTGGCTCATATTGTTGTACTCTAAATGAGAGAGAAAACAGCTTAAACTTGTTTCGTCCAAGGAGTTTTCCCTGACATCTCATAATATTAACACAATCATATTTAATGATTGCAATATTGTATGATTCTATGGGCAAAATATTGAATGGTGTGGGAAGCATCAAAAGAAGATGAAAGGAATATACAGAGTAACAAAATCAAAAGAGAAAAAATATTGATGGACATTCAACCATTCCAGGAGGTAGCATGTGACCAAGAACCAATAATACTGAAGGAAGAAATCCAACCTGCACTGAAGGAACTGATGGAAAACTAGGCTCCAGGAATTGACAGAAAACCTACTGAAGTATTTCTACAAACAGATGCAGTGCTAGAGGTGCTTACTCATCTATGTGAATAAATTTGGAAGACAGTTTCCTGGACAGCTTACTGGAAGAGATCCATATTTGTGCCCATTCCAAAGAAAGGCGATACATCAGAAAGTGGAAATTATCGAACAATTCCACTAATATCACAAACAAGTAAAATTTTGCTCATATCTTGAGCAGTTCAAAAAAACAGCTGTAGTTGTATATTGACAGGGAACTTCCAGAAGTTCAAGATGGATTTGAAGAGGATGTGGAATAAGGGATATCATTGATGGTGTCTGATGGATCTTGGCTGAAAGCAAAGAAAAACAGAAAGATATTTAGCTGTGCTTTATCGACTATGCAAAGGCATTAGACTGTGTGGACCATACCAAATTATGGATAACATTGTGAAAAATGGGAATTCCAGAACACTTAATTGTGCTCATGAGGAACCTGTACATAGGCCAAGAGGCTGTCATTCAAACAGAACAAAGGCATACTGCATGGGTTAAAATCAGGAAGGGTGTACAGCAGGGTTGTATCCTTTCACCATTCTTACTCAATCTGTATGCTGAGCAAATAATCTGAGAACCTGGACTAAAGGAAGAAGAATGTGGCATCAGGATTAGAAGACTCATTAACAACCTGTGATGTGCAGGTTGTTATGACCTTGCTGACATGACCTTGCTTGCTGAAAGTGAAGATGACTTGAAGTACTTACTAAATGAAGATTAAAGATTACAGTATGCAGTATGGATTACACCTCAACATAAAGAAAACAAAAATCCTCACAAGTAGACCAATAAACAACATTATGATGAATGGAGAAAAGATTGAAGTTGTCAGGAATTTCATTTTACTTGGATCCACAATCAAACACCCATGGAAGCAGTATCTAAGAAGTCAGACATTGTATCGCACTGGGCAAATCTCCTGCAAAAGACTTCTTTAAAGTGTTAAGGAGCAAAGCTGTCACTTTGAAAACTAAAGTGTGCCTGACCCAAGCCATGGTATTTTCAGTCACCTCATGTGCATAATGAATAAGGAAGACCCAAGAAGAGTTAATGTCTTTGAATTGGGATGTTGGTGAAAAATGCTGAAAATATCAGGAATGCCAGAACTAACTAATTAACTTCTGGAAGAAGTGCAGCTGGGATTCTCCTTAGAAGCAAGAATGGCCAGACTTCGTCTCACCTACTTTGGTCATGTTGTCGGAAAGGACCATTCCCTGGAGAAGGAATGTGGTAAAATATAGAGTCAGCGAAAAAGGGGAAGATTCTCAATGAGATGGACACAGTGTCTGCAATGATGGGCTCAAGCATAGCAAGGATTGTGAGGATGGTGCTGGACCAGGCAGTGTTTCATTCTGTTGTACATAAGATTGCTATGAGTCAGAGCTGACTTGATGGCATCTGACAACAAGAACAATTAATGATTTTTTTAATGATGATTACTTCTACTAAATTTTAAACACCAAAGGCAAGGATCTTGTCTATTTTGTCTGATGCTATATTCCGAGTGGCTTCACAGTGGCTGGGCCAAAGTAAAAATTCTGTAATTACTTGCTGAATTAATACTGAATGAATAAGTGGAAGGTGATGTAGTGGGGAAAAAAAAAAAAAACATATAATTATCCTCAGATCACCCACCCAAAAATACCCATGCATTATGCAGCAGCTGAAACTTTCAGGAGGATAGAATAACTGTTAGGACTAAGGCCAAGCCCACTGAAAACTGCATGTCTAATATGGAAAGAACCTGATGGGTGAGAAATGTTCAGCCTAAGTAGCATGGGGAAAGGGAAGGCATAATTGGTATTACATACATTCAAGCTTTGTCTTACCAAAACTGTTTCCTCTGAAGGAACTACATGCCTTTAATCCTGTGAGAAATGCCTCTGAGAAATGGTAATAGTTGCGTTAGAACATGTCTAACTTCAGGGGAATAATGACGAGAATCAGGCCAAAACTGCTTTCCGTAATGTGGAAGTCAGACATACCTCCACCGTCCAAACATTTTACCAATTCTGCCACCAGCCACCCCCCACACACTTATCTCTACTTCTCTTCTGGGTTCTATAGTCTATTGCAGTAGCCACACAGAACTCACAGACCATACATCCAGCTAAGTGGCTTATTAAGGAAGTAACAGGGTACAACAAAGAATCATGTTCAGCAGGCTAG